TTTTTTTCCGCTAATCTTCTTAAATTCTTCGTGCTTAATTATTACCTTACGACGTGATGCGCATCCTGTTGTTCAACTGCATTATATTAAATTATTCACATATTGCAAACAAAAGCTCATTAAAATCGCGCCTAAATTACTTCTCTCGTGTACTTACGAGGCGGAGCTGCTGCTGCTGCTGATATTGAGTAGCCCGTGATTACGCATTCATGTGAGCAGGATGACTGAAACTTAGGATGATCCGGCGGAGGCAGGCAACTCAGAGAAAACACGAAGGTTTGACTGTGAAACGTAATTGATGTCACACACATACGCGCGCGCGTGTGCGAACGCACGCACACACGCGCGCTCACGCACACGCGCTCACGCACACACGGGGAAATTCGATGCTCGAAACGGCGGAGAAGATAAGGTGTGTTAATGGCGAAGAAACCTAATTCAGGAGACAGGTCGTCGATTGCTAAAGGGCGAGAGGGAGCGATGGAAGAGCGCCATGGTCATTAGTGATACATTCAACCACGAGCATTCCTGCACCGATTTATCTATCGTCCCTCGCCGATCAACCAACGACGTTACAATAGTTAGCGCGCGAATTCAGCGAAATGACGTATTTCATACCGCCACTATACTCGCATCGTTTATATAGCTCTGCGTCGCGTTTCATTATTTAGTTTATATTTATTTTTCATCTTCGTGTGTTATTAGAGCGCTACCACATTACGCGAGTACGCTCTATTAGGTCCCTTAACGAAATTACCAACTTATTCTCTCTCTTTCGCTCTCTATCTTACTCTTTCTCTTGCCTGCTCTTTCTCTCTTTCTTTCGCTCTCTCCATATATATCCAATATTTGAAATAGAACGGCGAACGTATTTTGTTTTTTTCGGCTTATAATTCCTCGCGAGCAAACAAGAAACTTAAAACCTAAACAAGAAAGACGCCTGCTTCTTTAATAAGAAGGAAGTGCACGTTTGCCCCATATTTTTACCAAACATGCTACATATATATTCCAGGACTCCCGCTGGTTTAAAGTGGATAAACCTCGCAACAAAAAGTCCATATACACCTACTGTGAGCATACTTGCAGTATGCAAACATCACGAAATGTTCTCATTGAGCCAGAAATGTGCTCTGAAGCTATTTCCAATGTAATGTTCCAAGAATAGTCAAAATGACTATTTTGAATTACCCCGTCGGACGCAGTTTTGGCGAAATTACAAATAAATTATGCTAAGCGAAGTGTCAGAGGACGCTAAATAGTAGCCCTACGCTAGCGCAAATAGTTCCTGGAACGAAAACCCTATATAAGTCTATATTTGTTTCCTGATTGCATATGAAATGTAGATAAAATCAAGAGCGGATAATACCTGTATATAATGTAATACCTGTATAGTACCTGGATATGTATTATTAGCTCTTGATAAAATGTGATTTAAACAAATTTCACAATTTCTTACCGAGTAAACATCGAATAATAAAGTATAACATGTGTTATCACAGAAAAAAAACTGTTAATGCAGCACAACGTTTGCTCGGCTGTGTACCGGATGTGTAAACACTGTAAACATCCTGTGGTGCTACCCGCTACTTTCGTAACTTTCGTTTAGATTTTTTGAAGAAATTTTGTGAAAGTAGCAATACAAATAAGTTGTAGGCCTATTAATTTTTGCAACATAGGCGAGCTCAAAGTAGCCATATATATATATATATATGTATGCATCTAGCTGCGAGGTTTATCCACATTAACGTTAACAATTAGCATCAGCCATCGGTGAATCGCAATTTCTCCACCCGGGTTTTTCAATGTCATTTCTATGTAATCGCAACATAATAACGATGCCATTAGTTGTGGGTGTGTGTAATACCCGGGATGGAACACGCTGGGGAGCCATCCACATCCCGTGACAAGTCGAGCTAGTTATTGTTTCTCCCGTAATCTGTGCGGTGATTGCAGTGTAGAAATGCCGCAGGCAACACATTCGATGGACATAGCGCCAAATATATATGTAATTAGGGGATTTAGGACCTCACTTGTGCAGCGGCCAGCACAGAAAAACATGACCAGGATCCATAATCACGCTAGAGCCGCGAGTTGGCCTGTCACACAAACCGCACGCATGCGCTTGTATTGTCTCCATTACCGGGAAGTTGTGAGCGAGAGACGATGACGTTTTGCACCAGAACTGATGACGCGCATGATGACGATGCCATTCGCGAAATGCAACGTCATCGTAGGAAAAAAGATGATGTCGATGTTAACAACGCTATCGATGAGAGTACTCACGTAGCACATGTGGTATTTTCCTCGCCTGTCGAAGCACAAGTACATGTAGTTGAAGCGCTTCTGTTCTTCCATCTCTTCGGAACCATCGTCTGCTAGCGGTACGGCCTCGCCTGCCTCAGCCGTCTCCGCGTTCTTCGCTGCTATCTGTAACACGAAGCAGACGATCACGCATTGGGGGGCAGACGATCACGCATGGGGGGCAGACGATCACGCATGGGGGGCAGACGATCACGCATGGGTGGACAGACGATCACGCATGGGTGGAGGGCAGACGATCACGTATGGTGGGTAGACGATCACGCATGGGGGGCAGACGATCACGCATGGGGGCAGACAATCACGCATGGGGGGCAGACGACCACGTATGGAGGGCAGACGATCACACATAAGGGACAGATGCAACCAAGATTAATTATTACAACTTAATCATTATTGAAATAGATATTAATTAGCTTTGTTCTGTTAATTGCAATACTTGTTATAGTTCCGGCACACACACACATATATAGATGCGCGCATGCATCTACATACACGCACACACACACACACACACACACACGCATCTGCACACACACACACACACACACACACACACACCACACACACATGCCACACACACACACGACACACACACACACACACACACACACACACACACGCACATACGCGCGCGCTCAACACACACATGCATGCACCACAAAACGCACACACCACACAGGCACACACAAACACACACACAAACACACACGATTCCACAGGCACACACAAACACACACACAAACACACCACACAGCGCACACACAAACACACACACACACACACGCCACACACACACACACCACACACACACACACACACACACACACGTGAGCGCGTGCGCACACAGATATCACCTACGATTTCGTACGATATAGAACAACAACTGCATAATAAACGCACTGATATGATTTCTACACAGCCTTGTCATGTTACACAGCCTTGTCATGTTACACAGCCTTGTCATGTTACACAGCCTTGTCATGTTACACAGCCTTGTCATGTTACACAGCTTTGTCATGTTACACAGCCTTGTCATGTTACACAGCCTTGTCATGTTACACAGCCTTGTCATGTTACACAGCCTTTTGTGTGAGTTCAGCTGAATAGCGTCTCTCACAACTCGGTCACATTTGTAAACATCCGCACCGGCTTAACACGAACAATGGTCCCACCTCGCTTCACACTCACTGCATAAAATGTCATAACAGTAATAATCAAAGAAACAGAAGAAATTCGAGAGCAAAACGCAACGCAATCTGTGAGAATTGTAATACATATAGGCAAGTCAGCGAGCGAAGGGAAGCAACCGAGAGATGTGTATCAATGATTTTAGCCTGCGCACTAAGAACTCTCGCGTTTAGTTTACATGTAGCAATTAACTGCGCCACGAGAAAATAGCGAAGTGTAATTAGTAAAACTGATGCGTTTCGTTTCGGCTCTAAACGCCGTCATTATTTGAGGCCGTGTTGCGCGCGTGATGAGATAATGCTCGCAAATGCTACGCAGTAATTTCTGGCGTGGAATCAATTATATTACGTATGCGTATACAGATAAAACTAATCAAAGGTCAGGGCATTGCATGCATAGAGCTAGCGTTGCCGACGAACAGGATGTCAGAGCTGCAGTATGTTGTGCTGTGGCGGTACCCACGTTACTGGCTGCGGCAAATAAATAAACAAACAAATAAACAAACAAATAATGAATCTAGCAAACAAACGAAAAGTCATCACTAAACACGGAAGTCGCTGCGTTGCCATATTGACTTTCTGGCCGTCATATTGACATTGACTTTCTGGCCGCCATATTGACATTGACTTTCTGGCCGCCATTTGGATTTTCTGGCCGCCATTTGGACTTTCCGGCCGCCATATTGACTTTCTGGCGCGCCATTGTATATCGGATATTAATTGAATATTTATCGGGTCAATAAATGCGGCCCAATATAATGACGTATCACGTGAATGGTGACGCAAACGGGAACGATTGAGTGAAATAGCTGGACCGAGCGGCCATTTATAAATATCAGCTTTCTATAGCGCATATTGTCGCATTGTCGATCGTATCATAATGCGCTTTACACGTCACTGCAACGACACTGGAGCGATACAACCCCACCATTAGTATAATACAGTACACACACACACACACACACACACACACACACACACACACACACATACACACACACACACACACACACACACACACGCGCACCCTCACTCAACTCCCACCCCCACACACC